CAATCATTGTCATAACCAGTTTTGAAAAAATAATTAATTTTTAAATGATTACGACTTTATTTGAAAAAATTGATTTTTTTTGTTTAATTTGAAATTTAAAGTCATCATTGACATTTGGATTAGGTAGCTTGAATACTTAAAAATGTTTTTTTAAATAATTAAAAAAATATTTTTAAGACAAAAATTAGTATGTATTTACAAAAAAAGATCGTTTTAAACAGTTCGGTACTCGATTACGCGTGGGGAAGAGTAACTGTTGCATGTTGTGAGTACTATAAAATTTACACAATTAATGTGCAAGTATACACAATGGAACAAGTAATACAGTGATGAGTGAGTATCATATTCATAGAGATTGGAAGGATCTTGAGTAAAATTTATGCACTACTCTAAAGTAATTAAGTATAACTAATGGTATTAACACATGATTATGCCGAGGCAAATGAAATGTGTATATATGGTGGAAGGATAGTAATGTGACTGAGTAACAACAGGAAAATTCATGGCAAAGGAAAATGGTAAAGATAGCAAATAAATGAAATAACTTGATAACCCTCACACGGGAAACTACTTCGGGAATGAGTGATGGGGAATGATTTAAGGATGCTAAAACTTATCTCTCTAGCATATTTAATCTATCAAAGGTTCACTTGCTCAATGGGGTTCGCTAAAACTGCTCCTGTTACCTCCAGTCAAAGGAACCTAATAGAATAGAATGCCACGACATTTCCTCTCAGCTCAACTATGGCAGCCTACTCATGATAAAAACTACCCCTTTAGTTGTTGAAATCCAATCTTAGTCTCTCTCAAGAACTAAAGGATTAGGATATAGTACTACTATGTGGGGTCTAAGCTTAAGTAAATTACTACCCCATTGCTTATGTGGATCTTACTTGTGTTTCTCTCGAATACTCCAAGCATTAATGACTAAGATTCTCTCGAACACCTAGCCTTCATCTAAGTAATGGACACTCTCATGCCTCTTACAAACTTAGAAAATGAAGCATTCATAAGCAAAATAAGTAAATGCAAAAGATAAACTTTAATCTACCATTAAAACAAAATCAAGCATCCATAAAATCAACCCCACCAAATAAGGTTAGGGCTCGAATATTCCATGACATAAAACATGAAAATAATTCTGCCAAACAACCCAACTAAAATAAATGAAAGAAAACAAAAAGGGATGGAAGAAAAAGCCTTCGATGTGCGCTGTCGGGCTCCCCTCGACCACCACGAACAACCTTAGCTCGCTAACTCATTTTGGACGCCTAGCTCGCCACTCCCTCGAGCTTCATCAATGGAGGAACACCCAGAAAAATGGAGGACGAAAAATGGTGGAGAATATGATGATTTTATAGCTTGGTCACATCCTTTTTGTCTCTATTGTATGGTGTCATTTTATAATAAAAATATTTAAGGGTATTCTTGGAAATTTTGCACTCAAAATACCTATCATACCCCCAAATTCATTCCTTGGGCATGAATATTATCTCTACTGGTGGCAGTGGACCCCTTCAGGTGGTTACAAGCAGCAGACACATGCTTTGACAGCTATCCTTTTGTGAAAATATCTTTTTGTTGTTTTTTGCGCCAGAAATGCCAAGGCATTTCAGTCTGCTTTAGGAATGTGTGATGTCACGGCATCCTTCCCAACTCTCCCTTTTTGCTTGTTGTTTCCTGCAAATCACTGAAAACCACACCTTCCTCCTCATATAACACCTTAATAAAATAAAATAACATAACCACAAAAAATGCAATTATATGTAGCTACATACATCTAAAATGACCTATATAGACCCTTAAACAAACAATAACTTAAGTGAAAAACACCTTAAAAGTAATCTTTTTACGGAGTTATCACACCCCAAACTTAAGCTATTGCTTGTCCTCAAGCAATGGATAACAATTAACACAATCAAAATATCATGGCAATTAACAAATCAAGATAAAAATTGAATTTCAACCCTCAGAGAAATTGGCTTTAACATGCTAGACATATCAAGAATTCAAGTACTTTTCCCTGGGTAAAGACTCTTTATGGTTGTGTGTGTGCATGATTGTATTTAATCTATACTTAACGAATTTAGGAAATTTCTAATTGAGTTCCCTAGTTTTTCCATGACATTAACTCATTCATTAAGCACATTTATACTCATTTTTCACTTAATACACATTTTATTTTCTTTTTTTCCTCTCTTTTTATGCTACTACGAAGTGAGTCAGCTCATCACACCTACCATCCCACACTCTAGGTGAAAGGGAACATACCTTTCACCCCCAAGCTAGTCAGGTAGAGTCATTCAGTGACTGCTTTCATCCACTTGTATGCGTGTGGCTTCCATTTATTAAAGAGAATCCAAGCAATGCCACAGCAAAGAGGAGTGTCCCTCTACAACTATGTTGAAGCATTTATTCATGATTAAATAAAATTCAGACATAATGGAGTTCTTAAACAGTGATTTATCATTTAAGCATAATACCATATTTTATTTCCAAGGCTAACCAGAGTTCTTTCATAAATCCTAAGTTCCTTAAGTATAGAGAACATACAAAACGTGCAAGAATAACTCACAAAGCATCAAGCCCTAGAGTTAGTTCTATTATTCTCAATAGTCATTTACATTGAATTTCTAGCCTAACAAGTTCATCATCATCACGTATCATCAAAACATTTCATCTAACTGTCCTACCATTTATTGATGCCATGGCATAACGTTATGCTAAAACTATTATGCACATGTTCTACAAAGAGCACTACCTCCCCCAAACTTGAGAGAAGCATTATCCTCAATGCTAAATAAAAAATAACTTAAAACTAGACTACATGCTATGCAATTCAATGTCATGCAAGGTACATTATCTTTCTAAGATGGTGGTGGAACCGCGCTGGCAAAGCTAGTAGTATTGCGCCTGGTGCACTTCCTCAGTGGGGTGGGGCATGCATTAGGGTCAAAATTGGGTTCAACAGGTGGTGTTCTAGGGCCTTCATTGTTCTTGGATGATGGGGTCTATCACTTGAGACTCATCAACATTATATGTCTCCTTGACTTTTCGGGCACAGTTTGAGATTGGGGCTGAGACTTAGGTACTTACTCAGGCACCATACCATGTTGATTGGGTTAACATCCTCTGGCTTGGGTGTACTGTCTTACTGAGTGACTTGGAAATGTCATGGCATCCTTAAATGTTGGCAAGATCACATCCAGGATGACTGGAAGATTATAAGTCAAATGTGGGAACATCTCCTTATGAACAGGTACCATGATTGCATCTTGTTGCTTGACATAGGAAAAGAAAATTGTCCATCATTAGTTAGAGCTTCTATTTTTTCCCTCGTCTGCTTTATTGATTCCTTGATTACATCAAGCTTTGTCGTGGCATATTGGTTTACAGCATCCTATGAAGTTCCCTCATCCTTATCCTTGCCTTTGTCCTTGATTAATCCCAATGTCACGACCAACTTTGCATTAGTATTGCCTTTCAACCCAGGTGTGATTTCATTATATTTATCCTCCAAAAAACCCTTCATCTTAAGTGGTTGCAGCATCCGTGAGGGCTTTACCCTTGGAAAACATGCATGGGACTTTGTTCTACTGTAAAGAACTATATTAAAATTAAAAATAAAGAAATAAAACAAATAAAAAACAAACAAACAAACACTCCCCACAAAATAAAACTTTTATAACATAAATTAAAGAGGGTTGAAGGGATGCTAACTCTAAAACATCATGAATTGTCATGGTATTTTTGTCGTGTTCAATTGGAGCACCAATATAGACCAAAATGCTCCACACATATAACAACGCCACCTTCAGTGTAAGCCAATATAATCCAATTTGTAGGACCTTTGCAGTAGTCCTCTCTCATCTTGAGTGTTCTCTCTAACTGGTAATGGAATACGATCCCTTTTCATTTCCCTTTTATGTGACATCTTTTAATTGCTTGGAAGCAAAGTCTTTAAAGTAGGGGTCATCCCAGTGACAGTAGCGAATATCATGCATCAACCTGTTCTTACCCTGGCTATTTAAGTACGAAAGTAAAACACCACTAACGAGAAAATTGATAATGTCAACATACCACGTCAATGCTGTGGAAAATAATAATTTCTCGTCAGTGAATTTTTTCTTAATCTCCAATTTATTACTTAGTTCTTTCACAATTTCTAGCCTAGAAAAATGGACAGGTACTTGGGGTTTAGGATGAGTAAATTCAATGAAATCCAATGGTTCAAATTTCGTATCTGGCCTAACTATGAGTAAGCTAGATTGAATCATCTCCTTTCACTACTAGAAAAAAACCCCTTTAATGATGCGCATTGTGCGTCATCTATGGGTGCGGATGACACACAAATGCTTTTCATTGAAGCCACCGACATGAATCTCAGATGACACACAATTGTGCGTCATGAATTTATGATGTGCATTTATGACACGCATTTATGACACACATTTATGGCGTTGATTGCGCGTCATTGAAGCCCCCGTCATAAATGAAGACGACACACATTTGTGTGTCATAAATTTATGACACGCATTTATGACTTACATTGCATGTCATTGAAGCACATGCCATTAGAAAAGATGACACATATTCGTGTGTCATGATTGTATGTCGTAAATTTTATATATATATATATTGTAGATTGACAAATAATCAAACTAAATCAAATTTAATGCCTCATAATACTAAATATATATATCATATTATATATAATGAATCCATTTACATACAATATATTAACATTAAGTTATCAAAAATATTGTAATCATATGTCGATACAAAATATCACGGAATAATAAAGTTTTCCACATAAGATACTCAGTCTTTGTGAATATTAAACATGTCGACGTTGTGGGAGATGCAACTCCTCTAACTTCTTCTGCAATTTTGAAGTTTCTTCTTCATAGTCGATAACTCTTGAAACAGGCTTCAAATGAGCATTGGCTTCAACTGAACTAGTAGGAACATCATATGCACCAGTTGTTCCCTTCCCAAAATTAGAGCTGATCACCTTTGGTTTCCACTCCTTATTTGAACCAACTGCTGATGACATATAGGAATTAATAATTTGCATATATTAATCAGCATCAACTATCTTCAGGTGAGAACATAAAGTAGTCCAAACATTTGTAAAATCACTCATCACTAAGTAATATGAAAAGAACGAAAAACCAAGTAAACTTGTGGTAAAGGTATCTTAAGCTTTAAAAGCTTTACTTTTCATTTCTCACAGTTACACTGTTATTTAAGGGGATACTTCTATTTACATATGGGTAATTCACCCATCCTTCTCGGTTATAATGATGATTTTCATTCAAACTTGCAACAAACGTGCTACTGAATTCTATTTCGCTCAGAGGAAAAGGTGATTGATATCCATTTACCAAAATTAGTTATAGATTCCAATGATTATAAGGAGTACAATAGTGGGTCTAAACTCTGAACATCCTTAATCAACCAAACAAATGAGGGAATTCAACTAAACTTTCCTGGTCTAAGTGAATTTAGATAAATCCCATCTCTAACAAATAACGCACATATCTTGATATCTAGGTTAGATCGAGACAACTTAAGCATCCATGTACAGTCCAGCAAAAAGCCAAAAATCAGCTTTTTTATATCAGAAGGATTATAGCATAATCCACAATGTTTCTCTGAATTTACCTAATTAAGCCATAAAACCAATAAAACACCATCTAAGTTTCATCAGCAATTACCAATATATAGAAAAGTTACAAAACAACATTGATTTGGAAACTGAAAAGTTAAATAATAATCCATTCTACCTGCATGTTTCTTTGATTTGGATCCAATAAATATGTTATTTGCTCATTGTATATCTGCAAAAGAAAACTGAAAATGAAGTGATAAGGAACAAGAATAGTACAACACTAAGCAATCTAATTATGTCAAAACTAAGAATCAAAATAATTCAATTAACTCTACCTCAAGAAAAGAACATCGGATTTGATACTTGAGATGTTTATCAGCATGCTTAATTCATAACTTCTAAACGGGAAATATAGTACAACTCAAATACCCACATTGGCACATAGAACTCCAATTACAATCCCTCTAAGGTGGGAAAGACGGACAATAATGCATAAAGTATGGAAGCATGAATTACTTAATCGCACTGATTTAGCAAATTAGATTACTACATTACATACAAATCAGCTGGCAACCACAGAAGTCACATATAAGTTAAATGTCCTCGGGAATAGACCATTAATAGTAATTTAACTTTGAAATAGGCTTGTGATTCTATATTCATGAAAAATATAATACACAAAGGATATCATAAAGGTAAAAACAAGAAATTCATATATCAGTTAAAAGCATAGTAGCAGAGCCCCAAACAAAGGGAACTAATTAACAACACATAAAATATTAGGAACAAAAGGTATATTCATAGTGGAACTTACATTTTATTAGAGAACGTTTACAATAATACTGAGAATTAATCTTATTGATTACAAATAATAATGCATTAATGCTTACCTTTGGGACAGGTTAAGACCTTATTGGTTTGAGCAGTCTGGACTTCAGTAATCACCCCTTGCTCACTATTGGCACAAGTTTTGTCTTCTCTTGAGGTCATTTTGCATGTGCCATCAACATTTACACAAGATTCCAAGCAATAGGCAACACAAGTAGAGTTTTGATTAGATAAACAAACTTCTTCATCACAAACCTTCTTTGTTTCTACAAGTTATTCTGGATGGCACTTTTCGAATATAATCATAACTGATGAATCATTATCCTTAGTTCCTTCATTTCTAGGAGAAACATTAGCACCTTGGATCATGATAGAAGACTCTCCAATGTGTGGTATCAAAATCTTTTACTGCTTTTTACTGCTATATCGCAAGATCTATCATTGTCTACCTTTTCAAGTAAGTTATTACTTTGGCAAGAATCTTGGACTACATTCTGAGACCTCTCTATTTGAACCCCCATATTAGAATCATCTATACCAGCACAAGGAGAAATTTTCGTTGCAATAACGTTGGTTCCTTCCAATGGTGTGACGTTTTTAAAATTATCATCTCTTGCACAAATAACATATTTAGGATCATACTACAATCTAAAAGAATTCCCAGAGTTTTTATTTGTCTCCAAATTTTCATTTTCATCAGCTGCATGGAAGTTGAGACACAAATTTAGTCCATAATCAACTCCCTGGAGTGAACTTAAAGTTTGGCATATTTGACAAACTGATTCTGACCATCCTTGAAGTTAACAACGTATGGTAGTGGACATGGTTCCCAGCCACAAAGACTTATAAGCTTTTGAACCTAAAAATTTTCCAAATTAATAAATCTTCAACACCAACAAGAACTCAGGAATGCATAAATGATAAAACCACAATAATCAATGCAGAAAATGTTAAACTTGTAAAGTCATAAATTGGAGAAACCATTGGATTATTATCACTCTTTTTTACCAAAGCAGGTGGAATGATATGAAAATGCAGTAGAAGGAAGTTTCAGAAAGGAACATGCATGTTTAAGTGTACATGTTCCTATGAAGCTAAGACTAGCAAAAAATTTCAACCCTAATGTGCTTGCAATTGCAAACTACAATGAGAAACAAGTTTCATACCTGATAGTACAAGTTAGCAGAATCCACAGCAGATCCATCTTCTATACATTCTATTTGAGAAAATTCAGTATTCTTTTTTAGATAATCCACCATTAGGGGTTATTTGAGAAATTCTTCGAGTTGAGGACTTCTCATAAATTCAATGGCTAAAGACGAAATTACTGGAAGAGCCATAAGTTGAAAGAGTGAGTTCAATCTCACCCAAAATTTATCAACCAAATGAGCAGGCACAGTGGGAGGAAATTCATCCAGTCTTTCATCAGATACATTATCAATCTAAGGGCAAGTCAATTTGTGTCCACTGTCCAACTTTAAGCTAAACACCGAGGCCACATTCTCAACTAAAGAACATAAAAAATGATATCTAATTTAGCCTACAAATACCAGAATTTTCAAACTATCTGGCCAAAATTAAGCAATATTAGATACATAACATGCCTTACTGTTGTGTCCAAGAAGGTGGGTCGAAAACAGAAGACGTGCTCTGCATGATTCACAGGCCAGAATGTCCATATCCACATTGACCCAACCTCTCATAGCACAATTAACAGCATTTACTACCTAAAAAGAATGAAAAGCATTATCATCTCTTTGAATTAAAAAAAAACCCAAAAAACATAGGAAAGGGTAAGGTAAGAATATAGAGAAGATATAATAGAAACCTTGGGCTTAGCAAACCAAGTCATGGATTTAAAAGTTGATAATCTCCTGAGCATATCTCCTCTATCCCATGGTCTGCAAAGTTGAGATTCACTCGCAGCTAAGCCATGTTGATTCTCTTCCGCTGCTAAAGAATACGTTGGAATTTGCCGTTTCTTCGCTCCTAATAATTGTTCTTGTCTCCCCATTCCCGTTCCCGGTGGTGATGGACTACCCATTAATTATAATTACAAATACAAATACAAATACATTTTATATACAAAAAATAGCAATAGAAATGAGATTTAATTGAAATTTCAAGTTTCATCTAACAAATCAGTGGTTACAACTTAAAAACAAATACAAAAAAGAAAACCTGGAGTGGAAGAGCTTGTCCATGATGGAATGAAACCTCCTCTCTGGATATTTGGACATTTATTCTTAATGGAACAATAATAATCTTTTAGCTTTACAAAAATGAAACAAAAAAGGATTTTGTTCAACTTTTTCCGCTCCTACAACCATTGGGCTCTTCTAACCATTGTCTTTCTTACCCCCTGTATCAGTTCTCCTTATATGATTTTGGATGCCCTCGTTTGGATTTTAGAGGGTAGGGTTTGGGGAAGAAGCATTCTCCATCTGATCTCTCAATATTGTGTTTCTTGGTAACATGAATGCAAAGAGAAAAAGGGAAACATAGGTTTAGTGTGAACTGATGATCGAGGGGAAGAAGCGAAAAGGATGAAAATTATAGGGAAAAAATTAAAAGATGACTTTTACAGATGACACACAATTAAAAGTGTGCTCCGTGTTTTTGTAAATTTTTTGGATTATGACTATTAAATATGGCACATTATTGTAAGTCAAAATCGTCCAGATTTTAAGAAACATGACTTTTTTTATGACACATTTTTGCAAGTCATAATTAGCGTGTGTCATCGTTCGTGTGTCATTAAAGTATATTTTCTTGTAGTCTTTGGAATATCCTTAAGCTCATCTTTGTATTCTTCATTGAACTTCAAGTAATCATCAGTGCCAGAAAAATTGTCATGGTCGAATTTTGCAGCTTCCCTTTGGTCATCAACTCCTACTAGTGGGGGTTTTTCTTTTGTCGTGGCATTATTTTTCCTTCCATCATTGGGTTTACTCATTTAACCTTCAGCTTTGTTCTCTAGCGAGGGTGAGTCCTCTTGCAATAGAGATTTTCATGCATAATCTTATTGTTGGGTTCTTCGAGTGTTTCCCCCCCAAAACTTAGCATCTTTGTAGATCTAGATGCCACTCCCTAAGTTGAATGTACTAAATTGCTCCTTGCCTTTAGCCTTAGTGACTTTAGTATCACTGCAATTTGTCTGGTTGGTATTCTTGTAATGTCGTGGCAATTTGACCCACTTGCATTTCCAAAGCTCTCAAGGACAATTTATGACTTTGCAACCATGACCCTTAACTTTGTAATAATTATTCTTTACTCTTAATAGATGTGTCATGTTCTTATAATAGAGCCTTTGTAGTTGCCATAAATTCTTGCACAGTGGCCTTAGAGAACTTGTATTAAGTGAAGATGATGTCCCCTTATTAAAAATATGCCATGGCATAATCGTTTGAAAGGCGGGGGCTCATCTATATGTTGCTTGTAATGCCCAAATTTAAAAATAAGGACTTTATTGAAAAGATTTAAAGATTGAGGATTTATTCGATTAAATGATAAAAGATGAGTAAATGATTGAAATAGTGCTTTTAACTATATTGCAATCATAGATGAATAGAGATGGCATTTTAGTCCTTTAAAGGGAAAATAAAGTTAATAATTATTTTAATAATGTATTTAAAATATAAAAGGGGAAAATGAGAGAAAAGCTACATCTCTATCTTGTTCTTCTTATTTTTGTGGAAAAACTCTCCCCGTAGCTCAAAGGTAAGATTTCAAATGGTTAGTTTATTCTTTCATTTTTTATTGGTTATTGAAGCTTTGAGTATGCTAAAAGCTTAAGGAAGGATTTAATGGGATTAAAACTAAGTTATGGATGAGATATTAGAGATTGAAGAAAATGGGTTTTTGAGTGATATGTTAAAATATGAGTGTTTATGGATGTTTGCTGGTAAATTTGACTTGTCAAAGAGGTAAATAAGAGATTAGAAGCATTGGATTTGATTAATAATTGCATCAGACTAAGTGTTCATTTCACGGAATTCATCATATGTGGATGAATAACCATTTTGGCACTATGTGTGCAAAGCACGAAATTCATAATTTGTTTATTAACGACATATGGGCACTACAGGTACATTATAAATGAATGATAATGAATGGAAATAAAGAATTGGTATTCATCAATAAGGTATAATGATATATTTATGGATTTCATTATATGATTAGTTTTTGCCTCACTAAGTAATACTTAATGTGTATTTATTTCACGCGTAGGTTGAATACAAGCTGAGTAAGGAGATCATTGGACTTCCAAGCCAGAGTCGCCTCATTAGTAACTGTATGACATACCTGTCTACTTTTGATCTATTTTAGTTGGCATGTAATAGGGTTTAGTAAAAATGCTCTGAATAGTACTTGATTAAACTGTTGTAAAATGGTGGGGTGTTAGAACATCTCTTTTTGTTATTCTATTTAAGTTAATATATGTTTTAATTTAAGTGAATTCAATGTTTTATAAAATGAAACAAAAATATTTTATGGGTTTCGATTGAGGAACAAAAATAGTAGTGATGTGACATATGTACCTCGTATACGAAAAGTATAAGGATGTTACATTTATTGGTATCAGATCCATAGGTTTAGCTGATTCTCAGCCGAATTAAGTATAATTTTTAGTGTAAAAATAGAGTACATGCCACTAAGATGTCAAGGTTACTGATAGGGTATACAATAAATATGATAAGATATCCCTCCTTACTAACTTAAGTATTATCTTTATGTATGTTATAATAGATGTCGGATTCGACGAATTCGAGAAGAGCGACTGGACAAGAGAGTAAAGATAGATCAGATAGTGAAAGCTATGAAGAAAATAACAAACATCCGATTCCTTCTGAGAATGCCAGTGCACCAGCACCTCAGGGTGTGTCTGTTCCGGAGTTTGGAGCTTTTATGCAAGCTCTCGACACTATTTTGACAAAGTTCCAACCTCCTCTGTCTCTCCCTGCTCTTCCAGTATCGTGAATGCTAATTCCAAATGAGTTAAGAAGTTTGGGAGCTCCTGAGTTTAGGGGAAAAGAAGGTGAAGGTCCTATAGACGCGGACTTATGGTTGAACG